CATGAATATTTCTGTGCGAATATCCGTGTAAATATCTGTGTGAATATTCTGTGCGAATAGTTGATAAATATGAGAAACGTAATTACGTGGATTATCTGAATTTTCACGAATTCTCTATGAATATCCGCGAATTCTCTATGAATATCCGCGAATTCTCTATGAATGCCCGCGAATTCTTGAATATCCGCAAATTTGCTATGAATATCTGCGAATTTCCTGAATATCCGTGAATTCTCTATGAATATCCATTTAAAATGTGTAGATTCATTATTATTCGCGAATGATTAAATCCGTGAATATTCATTAAATAGCTGTGATGGATATTCAAAGGATCCCAACTCTATCAATGGAAGATTAAATAACTGATATGGAATCAATTTTTTAAAAACTGTTAGATACTTTCCGAATTTTAAAGAAATTATATCGTAAAATGAAACAAAGTTTATTTTGAATGCGAAAAACTTCACCTTTATAATTTTATTTAGTGTATACATAATTACAATATAACTATCTGACCTAATATATCAATTTATTAAAGATCCTGCTTAGTCATTAAATCACTCTTAGCTTCTTAATTTGAAAATGAAAATGAAATTTTAATAATTTATAGCATTGATTTAATAAATTTGACAGATTTGGAATTTGATACTATTAACCAAAAATGTGATAGTTTGGTTTTAGATGTTATCCCAAATAAATCAGAAATCTGTTCCCCGTTCCAACCTACGTAATGTCAATTCAAAGAAGGTTTGGATTGTAACTCTCATCACAACCCACAAAACATTCTCGCAGTCAACAACTCATCAATCCAGCTAACCCAATCAATGTTCTCTAATTTCAGCATTCTTCTCATTTGATCGGTATGTTTAACATCATCCCAATTATTTTTAAGAAATTGCAATACCATCTTTTTTAAATATTCATTCTCAATCTCCAAACTATAAATCAAAATTTCATCCATATTCGCAATACTCAAAATTTCCGAAAATCTCTTGATCACCATTTGCTGTAACTTTTCAATTCTACGCATATCTGTCTCTAAGTAAAGATTTTTAAGGATTTCCAATGATAAGCCTTCTTCCAATCTATCCGTATAAAGATAATACAGTACCGCATGAAAAGATTCAAACTTTGTATTTTTTAACTGAATCGAAGAAGCTGTTGATTCTTGCCATTCGCCTCCAAATAATTTTTCAAAATATTCTGATCGAGATGCTAATACTATACGACCAGCTCGAATTTTTCGACCACAATCAAATTCGAATTCAATGTCGTTATAAAGATCATTTCCAAAATAATTCTCAAATGATGTTAAGAATGGTTGTGGAGGAGGAGTAGTCATTTGATTATCATAAAATATATGTACAGTAATTACTAATTCTGTCGATGTAGTAGTCGAATTTGTTTCATTAAAAATATCCTTAATTCCACAAATATTTCTCCTACCATGAGAATCACATGTTGAAAGATTAAATATTGTTTCTTTTGATACTGCACTTCCAAGTTTTGTTATTCGTTCAGGCGCTAAAGATTCCATCGAATTAATTCGAAATAAATCAATTCGATATCTAATCAGTCTTGATAATGTGGACTGGGATTTTTCACACTCTGATGGGAATGCTTTAAGATAGATTGATAAACATTCATTAACGGAATTTTTTCCATGAGGATAAAATTTTAAACGCCACGTATGCATTGGTTTTTTGATTCCAGTTCTTGGTTCAATGTAAACTGGTTGTGGTGAACTAAATCTATCGCTCATGATATATTTTCCTTTGTTCATACTTTGATAAAGATCTTGAAAATCTTTTATCTGCCATACATAGGTAGGTTCATCGGTTTGTTTTTGAGCTAACTCTTTAATATTTGACATATTCTCTGTTCTCAAGTGACATAAGATTATAATGATTATAATAATACTGTATATAATTTTTAAATAGAGACAAAAAAGGAATCAAAAGTCGTTGATTTAGTACGTTGTACATCACTATTTATAATTAATTTCAAAAAAATAATAATAATAATTAGCTGTATGTAAATGTTCCGTGTATTCTGATATCATTACTATTTTTAGTAACCGCCAAACAACAAAAAAAAAATTGTTCTTTACTACGTATTCAAGCTCAATTTGCCACTAGATTACCCGACATTTGAGCCAACGTAATAAACATAATTCTCTAATTGGTATTAATAATTATTATACTGGATTCGTCAAGACATTTAAGTCTGCATTTATCTAAATCTCAATTCCAATTATTAAATCAAATAACAATAAAAAATAACAATGACATTGGGTTAATAAATGGAAAGTAAAAAGTATACTTTCGTACAAACTAGGAAAAATATCGATAGCATTTAGTTCATTTACGTAGTCAATAAGCCCCAAGCTTGAATAAGTCATCATCATGCATTTCGCGCCATGTGCTACCATAATCTTTGGAGAACGGCTTACTTATTTTGGCAGAAGATTACAATGAAAAAACTTTATCGTTGAAATAAATCTTGGATTTTTTTTTCACATGAATTTGATGTTTTATAACCCAAGAATACCCAGAAAATTAAGCTTGTGCCGGAGTAGACTCTTATCCTGCTTCTCAATATCTTTCCCAGTGTCGCCATCAAAATGGCACTTTCACGTGACCACCGAACACCTTTTAAGTTCGTTTATGTTAGAATTAGCGTTTAAACTAATGTTAGAGAATGAGGGGGGTATAGTAAAATTACTTAAGGAATTTTTCTTAGTGTACAAAATGCGGTTTCTTTGCCAAAATTTAACGTTTGTTTTGGATCTTTTGCGATCGTGTTACATTACACCAAACTGTGATGAATTATTGGCTAGTCGTCACGTGAACGTGACATTTTGATGGCGATACTGGGGTTAGGGATGTTAAAAGTCCGGTCCGGTCCCGACTCGACTCCAGGAGTCGAGTTTTAATTTTGACTCGGTCCCAAGTCA